ATCCACTCCTACAGAACTTTGTCAAACTGTGGAAACTTTGACCGTTTTAAATTATTTCACTTTGCAATTCCTTTCTCTGATTCTTCCTCAATATAAAACTTTCAAATCTGTTCTATTTACCTGTCTTTAAATTGTAGGCTGTGCATGTTCTAATCCCATACTCTTTCACAAGCTTACACACAGTTTCACCTGCCTCAAAACATGTAATAATAGCTCCACTTTCTTGTTTACTGTCAGAGTAACACCTAAGGAATTTCACACTACAAAATCTTGTTGATGAAAATTTATAAGAATTAAAAAGACTCCAATCAAAAGGTATATGTAACCTATAACATTTATATCTTGGAGAACAATAGTGCTGATACAGTAGGGATTGCCAGCAGGTGTTTGTCCACAACACACATAGCATACACACTTTACACAAAATATGCAGGCATGTTAGACACACTGTATGAACTTAAGACACACACATGCCATATCCACTCTAGAAATACTGTGTTTGTACTTTGATACTGTGTATGCACTCTAAACACACTGTATGTACTTTATATATACTAAACATACATTCTGTACACACCAGGTGCAGTATGTACTTTATACTTTAAACACATTGTTTTTACATTTTGGTCACTGTGTATGCACTCTGGAGTACATGTTAGCCCGTTAGTGTCAGGGTAGAGTCGTCAGCCCGTTAGTGTCAGGGTAGAGTTCCTTGAAAGTGTAACTTAGAGTAAATCCATTTTCCCATTTAAACTTGTGTATAAGGGACCTAACGGGAATATTTTATATTATAAAAGACAAAACAAAGCTGGAATACATGTACAGTAATGTACTTGTCTGCTTTACCATGAATTTTTCTTACAGTTTTAGGTCAACCAAACTCTCCCAATGTCCACTAACTAGTTCAAGACATTTAATTTCTCCTTCAAGTATAATGCGTTTATATATATATATTTTCTTCTTACTACTGAGCTCACCCATGTCACTTGTACATTTTTAACTCATTGTCATCAGGGTTCACAGCTGTAACTCACTATACATGTTGTCAAGCATGTACTCCAGACACAGTGGTGGTGTAGCTAGTGCCCAATTCAGTCAAACATCACAAGTTGAGCATCTTAAAAATGGAACTTCCGAACTTACAGCAAAATTATGTTCCCTAAATGTTAGTGTCAGAGTGAAACAGTGTTTATGGAGGCAGCTAAAAGGTCCATAATACCCAGGCAGGGGGAGGAAATGTTAAGATCTATAATGTACAGTATTTTTGCTTCATTACACATCAAGAGGTAGTCCGGTTACTGAGAAGAAGGTGTACAGAAGGAGGTAATGCTTCCCAAAATTGTAATACAGTAAAGTGTGTAGATATTCATAAAATGTATAATTTCTACAGAATTTTATGCAGAACTGTACATGAAAAAGATACAAAGAATGAATGGCATAATCCTCCATCATTCTTCTTGTAAATATAATTTTAACAAAGTGAAATAGACATAGTATTTTGCAAAATTTAGCAAAGTAATTTTTAGTCATGTTTAACTTACTGAGAAAATAGTACAGTACTGGTAACCACTAGGGACTTGCATAGTACACAATGTAACTTACCAAAAATATGATAAAAGTTAAAAAAAAAAAACTACAGTACCCTAAAAGAATGTCTAGAGATCAAAATCACTCTACTCAAACAATACTATATGCCCGGTATGTAAACTTTTAAATAGATAAAAGGCAAAATTGTTACTTTCAATATAAACAATAAAACGCATAAGCTACATTTTATATACAAGCAATTAAGAGTTATTACATTTTTCTTTTAATAACACTCAACATTCTTCTGTCTTGTTAAATATATACCCCTGTATTTCAATTAATTATCAGTCAACATTTTCTTATTCAGCAATGTGCCTGTTGTAGTTTTCCATTGACGAATTATCAAGACTCTCTTCTTAAATTACTAATATTCTTAGTGTACAAGTATCCCTCGCTATTAGAATGGGTTTGATTCCTTGAAAACCATTCGGATATCAAATTTTTGAATAGTGAATAACATTTAAAATGGGAAAAATAGGGTTCAGCTCCCCAGCAACGAGAAAACCCCAATAGTATACCTAAAAGAAAAAATTTAATCAGTTCATGAACATCAAAAAACCCACAATCTTATACAGTAAACCCTCCATAATTCAGCATTTGATAACTCGGAATTTCATATGACTCGGCATGGATATACAGTAGTCTCGAAATGTATTAGTCCTGCATAATTCGAGAAATGCCGAGATATATAAAATTATCTGGGAAAATCTCGGCATATCTGACGACCTGCAACACCTACCATGCCCCTGTGTCACCTACCATGCCTCTGTGTCACCTACCATGCCCCTGTGTCACCTACCATACACCTGTGTCTCCTACTATGATCCTTCATTCTTTGCCTGCAGTGCTGATAAGTGTTACCTTTTTACATTTAATATTTACATGTACTGTACACATATATGGTTTGATAATTATTTTTTTATTGTTGTATTTTGTAGGAGGGGGGGAAGTGCTTCGATAAGTCGGAATTTGGGATAACTCGGCAAGGCCAGAGCCCCATATGTGCTGAGTTATCGAGGGTTTACTGTACCTAAAAAATATTAATTCTGTTCACGAAAAAAAAACAAAAAACAATACCTGTACTGTACTCTATTATAGTACCTAACAAATTGCCAAATTAAATAAAATACTGCACCATACAGTTGGTAGTACAGTCAGCAACAGAAATTTGTCCTGAACAAACCTGTATGATATGAGGCAGGTGATCTGGTAACTCTGTATGGGGAAAGAGTTGACAGAAATGCTTCAAATGGTTAGTTATTTAAGATTTATGATCGAAGTTTGCCTAAGAATACATTTCTTGCATACAACTTGATTAGTATCTGAGTAAAATGTAGAAAAGTAATGATATTGAGAAATATATGACTGATGCAGTATGATTCATAACTAGGGATCCAGACACATGAATATCCGTACTGCTGATGCCAACAAGTATTTCTCACGCTTAATGACAGTCATTATGAAGCAGCAATATCATAATTTCTTTATAACATTAATTTTCAGGACGGTAACCCCGACGTTAAGCGAGGACTTATTGTAATTTGCCTTTTCAAGCATATTTGTCAACTCTTCCTCATACAGTACAGTATTACCAGATCACCTGCCTCCTATCATGCAGGTTTGTTCAAAACAAATTTCTATTGTTAACTGTACATTACCTTACAGGGCTTTTGGATAGTGAACATTTGTATAGCTAGGGATACCAGTACAGTATTAATAAATGTTCAAGATTCTTCTGTTTTCACATAACTCTATATTTCCCTCTTAATAAACTCTCAAAGATTTTTTCCTTTTCAATAACTGATACTGTAATTAAATTTTTGTGCTAATAAACACTCAATACTCTTCATTCTTAACAAACTACTATGGTGCATGGGGTTTCCCTATAGATAACCATAGGCAACCCTAATCTTTGCACAACAACCATTCACTATCCTCATATACATAAATTGCAAGGAAAACTACTAAGATAATGGTAAACAATGGAAAAGCAACATCTGTGATATTAACTGGAAAGAAGTAGTTTTCAATAGCTTATTAGTTACATATCCTAAAGGTCATTCTCATGTTGTATATATACAGTACTGTAATTAAGACAGTGCTGGATATTAATCTATATTGGATAAATGTCTACAATAAATTATCTCAAATTGGATTCATCTGTCCTGGTTTTATATACTGTACTAACTCTATGCTAAGAGAGCTGAGGTTTAAGAGATAATAAGTGGGCTTAAATTTCAAGTTCAGAAATAGTAGCAAATGCCTAAAACCAACAATTCACAAGCCTAACTCACTACTGTAGAAAATCTGAAAATGTTGCATTAATGTTTGAGTACAAAATTTAAATAAAGTATATATATATATATATATATATATATATATATATATATATATATATATATATATATATATATATATATATATATATATATATATATATATATATATATATATATATATATATATATATATATATATATATATATATATATATATATATATATATATATATATATATATATATATATATATTATATATATTATATATATATATATATATATATATATATATATATATATATATATATATATATATATATATATATATATATATACACAGTCTTGTATCAAAATAAAGAATATCTATATATTTATTTGTTACTACTGTAGTAATATGTAGATAATGAGCAGCTAATTTCACCACTTCGTGAAATGTCTATCATTAAATGCATATGTAAATATACAGTATTGTAATCTAATTAAAATAAGTAACAATGACCTAAACAGGACCTAAAATTTGATAACTATCAGTAGAAAATAAATGAAGATGGACAAGTTATTCTCTGTCATACATAGCTATTTAAAGTGGTAATTTATATACATGTGCCAATGAATAAGAAAAAACAGTCACTGGTTTGGACATTGTTCACAGTCACAGATGGTAGTGTGGTAGTGAAGGAAAGACAACTAAGAGATGGAGCTGTATTCCTGACATTTTTCACATTCTTTTGAAAAAGTTTTGTCACAAAACGTCAGGAATAAGGCTCCATCTCTTAATCTTGTTTCCTTCACTACCACAATACTCACTGATTCATATGTAAAATCTATTAATACCCAATAGACACCATTAATGTTATGTCACATTTCAACATCACATATAAATTATGTCATCCTAACTCAATATATATATATATATATATATATATATATATATATATATATATATATATATATATATATATATATATATATATATATATATATATATATATATATATATATATATATATATATATATACATATATATATATATATATATATATATATATATATATATATATATATATATATATATATATATATATATATATATATATATATATATATAGTATTCTTATTAGCTAATGTATTCTTATTAGCTAATGGCTGTTCATAGAAGCTCTTTTGTCGTGAAAAAATTCTTCAAAACTGCAGTTCTGACTTTATCATCTTAGGAACTTGTTTTCATGACACCCTAGTCTATTAAGTACACAAGTTCCATCTATTCCATGATCTACATGTATATCTCACAAGTATATTTTCTCCTATATTATCTGTTGGTTTAAGGTGAATGTGTTTTCCACTTTTTATCTCTTCTAACATCAACTCATGAAAATGAATCTTTTTCTGTCACTGTTTGCTCGAGATTCGACCCTTGCGCTCCATGTCATGTTGTGCTAGGAGGTATGCTGGTAGGTACATAACTTGGCCCAGGCGGTCTTTTGTCTCCAGAAGTGGGTTCGGTAATGTGTTGCCTTGACTCCCTAAGGAGGTGTATCTACAAAAGAAACACGTCAAGTTTTTTATACTGTAACCTTCACTCTGTATTTAAAGAATAAATATGACTAGGACTCATTTGGACAGATAGGAGTATGGTACTATAGAAAACACAAGCAGACATTGGGATATTTACTCTTGACATGTGTTTCAATAGACTGCTGTATGATTGAAACACATGTTGCGGGGGAGTTGCATTTGGGATGTGTTGTGTCTCTGTAACAAAGCGTATTTGGCACTCGGGCCTTCGTTGTTGAGCGGCAGAAATTGGACAGTGATTACATTAGATCATCAAGGTTGTCTTAGTGATGTGAAAATGTAAATCGACGTAGGATTTTTTAATGCTAGACGTGATTGTATTTTGGAAAACTCAATCTCCACCGAATTGGAGGTACAGGCCAGGTCAAGAGGCCTACAACCACAAAATCATTGCCATATGACAAAACTTTTATTTTATATTTTTTACTGAGTTGTGGTCATGGCTGTGATTGACCACCCAAAGGCCAACCAGGGAGTGTAGTACTGTGCCTTTAGTTAAATCAGTTCATAATGTCATCAGTGATCACGGAAGAGTTTGTAAATAACTTAAAGTGAATACAAATTGGCAAGCAAGCTGGTAAGGCACCACTGCCAGCAAATACCAAATTGTATTATAGGTGCCACAGAGACTTTTATTTTTATTTTGTTTGTGTGCTCTCTCAAGGACTGAAACTGTGCCTACAATACACCATTCACAAGATGTGGGTTAGGTCAAACGATCAGCAGGACAGGAGGATGTATGCAAGAGCCAGAAACCAAGCAAAGGCAGTGTGTAGAAGGGCTGAAAAGGAGTTCCAAATGCTGGTTGCAAGCGAGGTCAAGTCAAAACCAAAGGAGTTTTACCGCTATGCAAAGTCAAAATTAAAAACACGAGTAGGAGTATCAGTTATGCAGATTCTGACCAGGATATAGCTGAGGCATTGAACAGCTACTTTTCCTCGGTGTTCACAAGAGAGGATGCGATTAACCTTCCTGCGTTTGAGGACAGGCGATTCAACACAGCTCTGACCCACATTGTGTTCATAGAAGAGGGTATTAGAAATAAACTGTCAAACCTAAAGGTCCATAAGAGTCCCGGCCCTGACATGGTGCATCCCAGGATGCTAAGAGAGGTGTGCAATGAGCTTGCCGAGCACCTGAAGATCCTGTTCTGTAAATTCCTGGATGAACAAAAGGCCCCCAGTAATTGGAAAATGGCTTATGTGAGTCCTATCTTCAAGAAGGGCGATCGTCACTCCACGAACAACTATAGACCAGTGACCCTGACCAGCATAGTATGTAAAGTACTTGAGAGTATTATAAGAGATGCCGTGATGGAACATCTACTACGAAACAACCTTGTAATGGATTGCCAACACGGTTTTATGCTGGGGCGCTCCTGCTTAACACAATTGCTTAAGGTATTGGATATTTGGACCCATATTCTGGAACGGGGTGGCATTATCGACAATATATACCTAGATTTTGCCAAGGCTTTCGACAGTGTGCCCCACGAAACGCTGGAAATCAAACTAGAAGGGTACGGAATTCGGGGAAATGTCCTAGCGTGGATAGAAGACTTTCTACATGACCACAAGCAGTGTTATGATTAATGGCATGAAATCATCATCTGTACCTGTCATAAGCGGGGTACCATAGGGCAGTGTATTGGATCCACTGTTGTTTGTTTGTTTCTAAAATGACATGCCTGACATTGTACACTCCTCTATACAAATGTTTGCAGATGACGCCAAGTTATTTCGGGAAATCAAGAATCAATCGGACTGTGAAGAGCTGCAGAAGGATCTCTGTGAGCTCCAAGAATGGTTGAAGAAATGGCTGCTGAGATTCAATGTCACGAAGCGTAAGAGGATGCACCTGGGGCGTACTAACTGTAAGGAGGCGTATCATATGTCCCAACGAGATGAAGAAACTGCACTCTTTGAGACTGAATGTGAGAAGGACCTAGGTGTGTATGTTGACAGTGAGCTGAAGTTCTTGGGACATTGCGAGAAGAAGATAAATCAGGCAAATAAATTATTGGGTCTTAAAAGAAGGTCGTTCAGATATCTAGACGGTCCGTCCCTCGTAACGATCTTCAAGAGTGAAGCGCTTCCCCATCTGGAGTACTGTCACCCCGTCTGGTCCCCGAGATATGGTAGGGACTGTCAGTTGGTTGAAAATGTTCAAAGGAGGGCCACCAGACTGGTGTCTGCATTTCGGCACCTCAACTACCCTGAGAGATTGGAGCGCCTGAATTTGCCTAGCTTATACTACAGACGGGCAAGGGGTGACCTAGTTGAGGTGTATAAGCATCTCAAGGGGCACTACTCGGTTGAGTGTCCTTACTTGGAGCTGGTGGACGCTCGCCCCACAAGGGGTCACAGCTCAAGATTGAAGAAGCCGCAGATCCAGAAAACTGTGAGGGGAAACTTTTTCGGAGTGAGAGTTGTGAACTCTTGGAACAATCTACTAGAAGTGTTGTGATGGCACCGAGTGTGAGCTCTTTCAAGACCAGACTTGACCAACATTGGAGCAGGTTCAGGTACATTCAGGAGCCGGTGCATGCCCAGTACTTGCCAACAGTGCGTGACAGAGACGTGACCGATTGCCCAAGCAGCTAACGAGCCGATCAGTGGTGAAGAGAACAAAAATAAAAAGTAAGTAAAAATGCCTGCTTGTGTTTCCTTTGCCACCATACTTCCTTTAAAGAAAGAGTTTCATTTACACACTCACAATACTATCTATTGATTAAGGTAATTACTGTACTTCATTTAAGCCTGGTAGAGTAAATTAAGAGGCAATTATAAAAATGTTGATCATAAAGATATGCGAGTCATCATGACCTAAGAACATATAGTAATGTTACAATCCTACCCAGACATCAAAAAAATTTTCTTTATCTGTAAAAGGTAAATCACCACAGTAACCGTAATGAATAGTAAAGCCAACTATTTTTGTGTCAACAAGCTTACCCTCTGTCATAGAGCGAACAGTAAGGGAGATAGAGACCTCGAAGAAAGTTCCAGACATCATTGTATTTCCAGTTAAGTATTGCATTAACACGCATCATTGGGGGCCAGTCCTTGTCAGTAGGTGAGAAGAATTCAAGGGTGTCTGGAAAGAATAATAATTTAAGGATATTTCAGTAAATTATTCATATCCATTAATTTAGCACCTACAGGAATATAATTAATGTACAGTTGCACAAGTCACTCCTAAAAAAATAAAACAGCTTAAAAATCCAAACATTTACTGATAATCCAAGAATACAAGTAAAGAATCCTCAATATTCAACATCTACACTGGATGACAGACAGACAGATGCATGTCAACAGGCTGGCTGTGTATTCAGAGGGGACAAAAAATCTAATGTTAAAACCTCGAATCAACTTTCCTTGGTTGGTCATAGTTCATCAGCTACACATCACATAAAGACCTCTGAGCAGTCCCTTCAAAGAACATCATATATATGCCTACTCACCAACAATGTCCTCTACATTCTGTCTATAACACCAACTCTGTAACTTTTCACATCTTTTTCATCAATTCCAAATAAATTTCCTTCATTATCAGTCCTTTTTCTCTCTATGATCTCACTCCCACTCTATTATTATCCAATTTCTGAGCATCATGCAGATCCATTGTAATTGTCACATGTTGGCCCACACCGCTGTTTATGATTGGCTAATTAGGTGATGCCTGAGAACGACCAATGTCAATGAGGGTGGTTCACGGCCTGTATGCTTATATAAATTCTCTAATGTTTGATTTACGATGTTTCTTTATATCAATGTCATTTAGTTTTGGTTGTTAAAACATTCTGTAAGAGCCATATTTTGTTTTATAGGATTAGTTGGCAACCGAGCCATATTTGAGTGGTGGTGGTGGTCCCGTACCGGCAGAGCAGCGCGAGCCACCGACTGAACAGGACAGCACGGAGAACCAGGAACTCCAGGCCTGGTATACACACGCTGACGTGGGGAACAAGATAGCCGCCGAGTTGGGCGTGAAGTAATTGGAGATATTTGAACATGGAAACTTGCTCTGGGAATGTAAATAGTGTAATATATACCTGTACAGTGGGGTATGCTATAACGAATCTAATAGGTTCTAGAACCTTGTTCATTATAGCATTCGTTCGTTATAGGATTAATCTGTTCCAGGCCCCCCCAAGTACAACCACTTAACACTGAAAAATATAATATAAAATTGTAAAAATTGTAAAAAAGTGCATAAATATGCATCAAAACCCCTTAAATAAAGAATATCATTAATACTTGTAATACAGAAACAATAAATTAGTAAAAAAAAAAAAAAAAAAATTTTTTTAATAATGTTCGTTGTAGGAGTTTCGTTCGTTATAGCATTCTCAATTTTATAGGTAAAACCGTTCGTTATAGGAATATTCGTAGTAGGATCCGTTCGTTATAGCATACCCCACTGTATGTCATTTTTACACGATGAGTTTCCATAAGCCCTTCTTCTCTCTCTGAAAGTCCTGTGACAACTGACAGTAATTTTGTACACATTTTTTTTTTGTATTTTCAGTGACACAAAACAATTCAATAAATACAATTTATAGCCCAAACTTACCCGAGTATGGGTCACTTTGTCTAGTTCCCATGATGACAGCCTTGATCTTGGGTCTCTTCTCCAGTAATTGGAACAATGCACCTTTCATTGGACCAGGTAGAACCTCACAATCCAGATCATATCTGGAAAAAATTAAGCCTACAATAAGCAGAGTACCATCACCTACCCACATATACAAAAAAATGGTTTAATTTTCGAGGTCTAAACTAGGAAACTGTTTAACTCCTGAATTTGTCTTATAAGTTCAAAATGGGAGAGCACATGCAAGTCTCAATGTCTCTCATTACTCCAGTCTTTCTCCTCCTAACAATGTATTTTCTTTCATAACCTACCTGAATAACCTATCCCTCTACTTCCTCTCTCATCACCTATTAAGCCTATTCATTTCATTGGGAAATCTTCTAAACCAATCTCACACAAAGAATATATACAAACACTCACCTGTTTATGGACTGCTGAACAAATTCAGTGACCTGAGGGAAAGCCGTGTTCTCTGTTATGTAAACAGATTGGAGTTTGGTGTTTGGGAAGTTCTGGTTCATCATGGCATAAGTCAGATGAAGTATGGCCAAACAGTCCTTACCACCGTTGTAACAAATGCAGATTTCTTCAGCACTAATAGAAATAAAAAGAAATATGATTTAACTTTCAGGGTTTTTACACCCTAATGGATTTCCATATACAAATGTACAATGAAAGACAAAAGTCGTGTCGTGAAATTGAGTGAAAACATATGCCGAAGGACTAAACTTTTGGTGAGCTCTACCTTGTGGTAGGGGGCTCTCATAATGTTTCACAAGTTTTATTTAATCTTTGGAAAAAACTGCGACACAACTTTTGTCTTTGATTGTACATATATGTAAAAAAAAAGAAAAGAAAAAAAAGTGAATCACAAATTACCCTGCGTCTAATGCGACCGTATTACGGATGGGAGGCCGAGCGCCGTAGGAAGAGGTGCCTACTTAGGGAGTCTGAGACGAGCAGTAGTCCACTAAGCACAAAAATTTTGTTACTAATAATATTACTAATTATAAAATACTGAAAAATAAACCTAACGACAGAGGGAAGCTCACATCATCTAGCTGTACCTCTTTCCCCAGCAGACGTAACCCATACCAGATACATGTCTTTCATTATTTAAAGACTGTATTACCTTTAAGAAACATTTGTTTATTAACTAAATAAAAATGCCCCTACAGGTAGAAAGATTAAAGAAATGTTAACAGAAAGTTCAGCCGCCAGTCAGCCATTTGCAATGAGTCGATGACGTCAAAACAATAGCAATGGTGCTACACCCTGGTGGCAGATCGTGGCAATACAAAACATCACAGCCAAAAATACGAGAATCACATCCTGTCGGTAATTCTCTTGACCAAAATATAAGCAAGTCACAGCTGCTTTGATCAGAGGTAGAGTTGGGTTAGTTTAATGTTACTATATATGATTTCCTACTTGATTCCAGTATATATTGTATTTACATGCACAAAATCATATGTTTTCCCCTACAAAACCACTTTAAAATCACTTTCAATAAATGTATGATGAAACGTACTTAAAAAAAAAATTCCACAAAATATCCTTGTAAAATGGGGGTGCGTCTTATATGCCGGCAAATACGGTAACAATATACTCCCCAAAATATTTTGCTTTTATTTACTTAAGATCATACATGTAGGGACAGTTCATATAAGTAAGAGCAGAGCCTATCAGAGGTAGGTTGGTACCTGCTTTGTACATCTGGCAGCTGCATGTGTCAGTTATCCTAAAGCATTTCCATTCATAGATATAGCACGTAGTATCTTTGTGTTTATTTCTTTTGGGGGTGGGGGAGGGTGGTTGTTAATTCTATTAAACTAATGTTTTGTGTGTTGAGTGAGTAAAGCTCATACAAGTGATTGAAATGTGGCATACCCATCTACGGTATCAATGCTGGGTGAAAATTTCCCCCTAAACAGAAGCATATTGGTTACGTAATCAAGGTCACAAGCTTGGGAGTGAAAAAAAAAGAGAAATGGCTTAAAAAAAAAAAAAACCCTGTAAAGATTTTGAACTTATTAGACGAAATGGACATTACTTTAGTGATGAGGAAAGTGAGAAGGTACTGATATAAATAGTAGTAGTGAGGGAGATGAGGAGGTTGCGATGACCCCTCGAGGTAGACCTTGTGACCCACACAGCCACCTCACTATTGAAAGAGGTGATAGTGATAGGTCCGTGTAGAACCTCCTTTGGTTTTCCTGGTTACTAGAACCCCTGGTGTGACTGTCACCATTCCCAAAACTCCTACAGGTATTATTTTGCTTTTTATCACAAGAGAGCAGCTAGAGTATGTTTGTGATGAAACTACCTGTACTGTAATTGCTATGCAAAGCTTACTTCTCTTTGTAAATGACAAGCTGAATCACCTTGGTACTTTTGCAACTAAAGAGGCTATCACTCAATACTTGGGGTTGATCATGGTGACGGGAGTTACATCTGCTCCAAGAGAGTCCAAGTACAGTATTGAGCTAAGGGAAAATTTTTCAGAATACTCTACAGTACAGTACCTGCCTTTAACCAAAATAAGTCTTTCAAGTATTACCAACAACTTTCCCCCCATTACTATCACTTTAGCAACAAAGAAGCACTGTGTAATCTGATTGACAGACTGGCTAAAATTAGGACAGTGATGGACTATCTGTAAAACAGCTTTAAAAAATAATATATTCCCAAGTAGCATCATTCAATAGTGATTTACACGGCACTGAAGGGTCAACTAATTTTTACGAGTTACAATCAGGACGAGCCATCAAAATATGGAGTGAAAGATTTACCTCTTGTAGCTGATAACAATACTGGATAGGTATGATTTGTATGATGGTGTGGGATCTACTATTTGAATTACAATTATAAAGTTCCTTGAGTTTCTAGAGCATAATGGGTATTCATTATAGTATATAGACAATTACTATAATATGTATTAAAATTATCATTATTGCCCATATTTACCTGTACTGGTCAAAGCACTGTTTGAGAATGTCTAAGGCTTCTTGTACAGGTGTCTGCAGGGAAGGTGATGATGAGAGAAGTTTGTCAATGTGTTCCCAAGGAGAGGTGACTGGGTCCTCATTGTAGTCAATCATCACTCCTGAATCAAGCATTAACACAATTAAAGACATTAAAAAAAAGTTTAAATAAAAATTACTGTTGGAGTCCTTAACCCGACGAGAAAATTTCTCATTACCTAATACTGTGCAGTAATCTAAATCAAGTAAACCCTTAATTTATTCATATTCAATTTCCATTATTTTGTGTATCTCTTATCATTTTTAAATGTTGTTAGAATAGTGGAATTACTAACCTTGTTATGAGCTTAAGCTGTAGTTGTGAAGCACAGTTATAACCTTTTAACAACAACATTATAGTATATAATGTATATCATGGTGTGCTATACACTATATTATAAAAGTACGGTACAGCCAAAAAATATTCAAAAATATAACTTAGTAAGAGCCAGAGTTTTAAGTTTCATAAATAATTCATATACAGTACATACCAATCTTAGTGTACAAGTATCCCTGGTTTAGCATTAATTCACTTCAGCGATAAACATTTTATGACACCATTTCTTGCTTAACATTGTGACAAATTTTGGTTTAGCAATGGCTTGACTAACTGGGAAGGGGGAAAAGCTGGGGATTCTGTGCTCCAATTGTGCATCTCTACTGCCACTCGTCTATGTTTACTCTACTCGTGTACCTGAGTGTGCTGTGAATTCTTTTGGAAAGTTGACAGTGTGATAAAGCGTCGTAAAAACTGTGAAGTGCTGTGCATGAGTAGTGTGCACAAGCCGTGGCCCGATTGACTCATGGACTTACTCTCCTGTGCTAAGGTGGAATTGCCATTTGCAATAAACTGTTCTGTTAGATGAAAAAATCTGATATAATTTACTAATACAGTATGTAATGTATATAATGACTCAACAGTATGATTCATAACTTGCTATGATAACTGAATATCAGTAAATTACCTAAAGAGCAACAGTGTATATTAGCGTTAACAGAATGTGTACTGTTGTTGACACATACGCATACTTTTAATATTTCTTTCATAAAGGGTATACAGTACAGTACAGTGACCCCTCGTTTAACGAACGCCTCGGTTAACGAAATTTCGGTTAACGAACTGCCTTCCATAAGGATCTTCAATTCGGTTAACGAACAAAAATTCGGTTAACGAATTTCTTACGAACCGACCTCAACATGTTTTTGCTTGCACTGACCGGGCAACCAGCTTTAGTATCAGTCCGCCGATACATTAATCGGTTCTAGGGCTTAAATTCCTTACTATTTTAGTAAATATCAAGAAGTTTATACTATTCAATAATTTTAAAAGTTTAATATTCAATTTTTTAGTCATTTTAACGATTATTGAACATAATTGAAGGTAAAGTGACTAGTTTAATGCGCAGCATCCAGCCTCTTAACACAGCAAACAGGCGTTAGTCTCTCTCTGTTTTCACTGGAGGTAACATCTTGCTTGAGACTCTCTTCAGCTAAACACTTTTTTTCTGTGTTTCCAAGCAAATTATTGGTCATTTTGAAATATATTTTACATATTGACAATATATAATGCAGTGCAGTGTTGATTTAAGGAAAATAATCTTGAATTACACCAAGAGAGCTAAAATTTTATGGGTGAAATGGCGCCATGGGGTGACTTCTCTTCCACCCCAATGCCTTCTCTTCTTCCTTCTCCTCCACCCCCATTCTAAATCCCATCATCATCATCATCCAGGAGCCTTCTACAAACACACCTCAAAGTAAGTGAACTTTTCTCCCATTTTTGTTGAATTTAGGAAATTTTCGGTGAGCTGGAACCAATTACCCAAAAACCCATTGAAACAATGGTTTCGGTTAACGAACGACCTTCTAGAACGGATTGAGTTCGTTAACCGAGGGGTCACTGTATTTGAATTTAAAAAGCTTTCATAGTGGCTTGATAATGTATTATTTAATATACTGTATGTGGAAAGTCAGTAACCCTTAATAATGCCTCCATGTTCCAATTACCCTGTCCTTAAAATTAGGCTATTAGAATGATATCCTGTAGTAACTGTCTGCTCACTTCCTAGACCTCAATAACAAGAATGTATGTTTGCATTAACCCTTCTAAATCTACCAGACAAATAAAAATCAATTTTTATTGTGAAAAAAGAAGAAACAATTATGGTCATTAATATCAGTAGTGTACCTGTAAATGATTTAATGTTTTATTACCATTTTAAGGGATTCAGACACTGGAATCACTGACGTTCATTTCTTGTCAACAAACTCATGCATATATAACATGAAGAGTGATGATAGCAGTAGTGGTACTGATGGTAATTTTGACTTAGGGTGAGGTAGTAATGGTGGTGCGGACTGGTTAGAGCAGGGGTTCTCAACCAGGGGGGAATTTCCCCCCCTCAGGTTTTCAGGGGGGGGGGGGAGGAAACTGATACTAATATGGAAAAAATAAAGGATTTTCAGTATTATATGCATATTATTTGGAATGCACTTTTTGAGGCAGACAATCTTGGAAAGGAGGGGGAAATGACATTCTGACATATGGTGAAAGGGGTGCATGGGGCAAACAAGGTTGAGAACCACTGGGTTAGAGGTACTGTTAGAATGCACAAAGAATTACGGTAATACTTATGAGTATTTTTGAGACTACAAAAAAAATTTTCTGATAGTAAGCCACACCCCCACTTATCCTCATTTAGCAATAATCTCGCTTAACGTTAACTTCATATTTTTCCCGCCTCTGCTTATGGCATTGTAATATTTCAATGTGATTCTGATATTTTAAAATGTTAGTTTTTGCATAATGTAGTATTACTGATACGTACTCTGTCTTAGTATGCCTTATTGTGGGTAAAAATAAGTATAATATATTAAATGCATCCTCCGAAAGCATGAATTTGCTACCAGAGTTTAACAGTTAATTCATGTATAGTTCTTCTGATAAACTTCCTACGTGCTTATGTTTGAAATAATGAAGGTACCGGTATGTATCTTTATATAATTTAGCTAAATATTTTTCTCATCAGAAACGGTCATCCCAACGATTATGAATACAGGGTGTAAACTCATTTAGAAATACTGTACATCATTATTTCAGGATGAAATCGGACAGGTTAGCAACAGCCAATCAGCTGTAACTCTTCTCAGCTGGGAAAAAACGCACTATAGAACTTACAGTACAGTAGGGAGCGAGACTGATTTTTTTTTTTTACGAGGAATAGCCCACCCGGGCACAGGTCATCGACCCACAACGGGGCCTAGGGGGCGAAAAAATAAGAGTAAAAAGAAATTAAAAATAGAAAAGAAAAAGATTATATGAATCTACAACACGAAGATGCCAGAAAACCAGCTTTTTGAAGTAGAACAGATTATATGAGTATGGAAACAGAAGAAGGCGGAGCATTCCACAGTCTGGCTGTGCGAGGAAAGAAAAATATACTATAACAGGTTATTCTAGTGTGGCCGGCATCCACAGAGAAACAGTAGGCACCGCGGGCAAGACAAGTGTTACAAGCCCACGGCCTTACCGGCGATGCACAGGATGCCAAATCCATCGAACATTGCCTATTAAGTACCTGTAAAAAAGAGAGTGAAGCAACATTGCAGCGAAGAGAAAGGGAAGAAAGATTATCAACTAAAGGAAGAGTCAATAATAAGACAAAATGCCTTTGATTCCACCCTATCTAACAGTTGGACAGAATAAGAGACACCCCAGATATGAGAGCAGTCCTCCAAGTTAGGACGAATGAATCCCTTATATACTTGAAGCCACTGCACATGAGTGAAGTAGCTACGGCATCTGCACAGCATTCCCAGCTTTCGGGAGGCAGCTTTAGCAATATTGAGGATGTGTGGCTTCCATGACATATTAGAGGAAATGGTGAGACCTGGCATATCTATTTTAGAATTTGGCAGAATGATTGTGTCCTGAAAAGTGATTGGTGGGTTGTGTTCAGCTATCATTTAAAACCACCAAGAAAGTTTGGAGGATGGTAACACGTTTCTCCAGATCCAGGAACACATTTTTCTTATTTTCCACGACAGGTTAAGTTCAATGTGTACGCGTTCGGTATACAGGAGGTTTTCAGAGTCTGCATAAACTGAGGGTTTACTCAACTGCTTCTATTACTGCATTATGAATTGAATAAAAACATAAAAATCATGGTACTTTAATAAAAAGCATCTTCTCTACAACACTCTTTCCATTAACCAGAATGAAATGTTACATACAAGATATTTCCCTAAAACATCAGTACTGTTTCAATAACTTCATATGCAATGCACCAAAAATCAATGCCCAATATAAAATATAGTATACAGTATACAAAAAAGAAAAAAAATATTTATTGCTCATATTTCTCCTAGACTCACCTTCAGGTAGCTTACTCTTAAGGAACTGCTCTGCTGATTTCAAGATGTCAGCACTCAGGGACTCCAACGTGATCTTGGTTTTGTAGTAGCTAAAATGAATACAGCCATACAAAGAATATTCAGGACAAAAACCTTTTTTTAAAGAAAGCAAGTTATGTAATTGGATGGGGCCTCAGCAACTACTATGAGTATATTGAGTATGTTATAAGACAATGGTTTAGTAGTGCTGTTAATGCGTGTGCTGTTTAAGTGTCTTGGCATGTCACCTCACCACCTGACTCCTGAACACACTTTTCATCAACTTCTTCAAATCCTACAATGTGCTTGGCAAGCTCGAAACACACACACACACACACACATGGGAATTAAGACAACAAGCATCCAGTGAGGGTCTTGTTGTGTGACTGCATGGAGGCGAATTAAAAGATCAGCTGTTGAGGAGCTTATCGCTTGGCAACACTAGTGCATGTTACCCCTCTTTTCCACTCCATCACTCTAATCACCCACACCTTTCTGCTTTCTCATTCCATATTTTAAAATGTTGTGTAATGTAATGTTGAAGGGATACAACTTTGCTCATTTATACTTATCACAATCTCCCTAAAAATACTTTAGCTTTTGTGTTTATTCTTCAAGACAACTTCAAGTTATGAGACCCACTTATCCCCCAGCCAAGAAAGGGTGACCTGACATTCCATCAGAAGGTCCGTAATATGAGACCACTAATCCCCCACCCTACCTCTACCTGACATTGAGTCAGGTCAGGTCAGGTCCCTCCCAAAAAATACTTTAACTTTCATCTTTATTCAAGACATTTTCAGAAAATTCTCTCGATTTTCAACCTCAGAAATTTTTTTCCTAAACCCGGAATTTTTGGGGGAACGATTTTCCAAGCAAATTTCAATTCCGGTTATCGGAGATTTCCAGGTTTGAGGGATTTTGACTAACGGAGATATTACTTTTACATCATTAACTTATGGTAAGATTGCCTTCAAAATAAGAAAATAAAAAGTTGAACCGAATTCACATAAAATTCCAGGTTTATTTGTAAAATTCCCTGGCTTTCCAGACCAGTAGACACTGTTTCTGCTAAACTTGCATCTATGAAAAAGAATTGACTTTATTATGACTTTTTTAACACTATTTAAATGGTTGCTCTTTATTTAGATAATTTCAATACAATCAGCTACAATGAATGGGACTTGAAACTCCAAATTATGATATATTTCCCAGACAGCACACAACTGGTAATCTCATCTCCCTCCAAAAGGTGACTTCAACTGCCTCCAGGGCAAATATCAGGAGTTTATATATTTTGTTTAATATTACAAAATGTGAGTTTCATGTGTTTTTATGCAAAATTATATCAAGTATGAAACCCTTGGGTATTACTTTAAAATACTTTTTCTCTGGTTTGTACTTCATCACAACACCAAAAGTGTTACACTAACCTGTGGAACAACTTTGGATATGAACCAAAGGACACAGAGGGAAACTTAGCGACAGTTTCATTCAGAGCCATAGCAATGGACACTTCATCTGCTGTTAAGTACACCACCATACCACAGAACCCAACACCTGGTCTGTGGAAGAGTTTCTGGAAATGAAACAAACATGAATTATAAAACACTTAAAAGTATACATTATATAAAATAATATAAGATTCAGAAGGCAGAATAATGTTTTGAAAAAATTATTGTCTCCTCCATCTCAATTTCATATATCCTCTTTATTTTATTGGCCTTCCTGTCCTCCCTTTATAAAATATTTTTCACAAAGATTATAATGTTACTTATACTGAACTGTACTTTGTTATCAATTTAAATCTACATTCGTCTTAGTCACAACACTAGCTGAGCTGAATCTCATTTTCCACCATCTCCCACTTTATATGTATGCTACTCTTTATAACTACGTACATGTAAGCCTCAATAGCAAGCTGCCTTGCCTTATCTTCCATTTCTCAGTGAATTCACTGTTGTGATTTGACTTTACACTTCATTGCACAGTAGAGATTATATCACCTACAAATACATTTTATGAAATACACATAAAACAGGTACCGAGCAATAAAAAATACCTTTCCTAGAAGACCAAAAGCTCTCTCTAGTAGATGTGGAACTCCTGGGAATATGGTCACATTTTTCACACTAATGATTGGATATCGAGACTTGACTCCTTTAGATTTGTCCTCACCAAAGTGAAGTACGGCAGACTCAGGAATCTGTTGATGCAAAGTGCATTAAGGATTGCTAATGACATGAGTTATGATGAACCTTCGTAAAGACAAACATATGGACATTCAGAGTGATACTTTCTGAAAGATTCCTTTCCTTTACAAGCCCATATAAATGAAGAAACTACTCAAGCCAAACTATATAATGGACAGGAAGTATAAAAAAAAAATGTATATCAAGGAAAAATCTATTCTGAATGGTAAATACTGTACTAAACTGTAACAAGTATATTCAGTTAAAATATAAGATTCACAAAGACAAAAATTAAGAGTTAAAACAAAAACTTGTGGATAAATTCATCAATATCTGAATTTTTCCCACCTAATGGTAGTAAGTCTCCAATACATTTATATCACAGTCATATGTACCAAATTCTCCTAGTACATTCAACTAGAGTTGCCTTTCTATTTGGGAGAATTTTTCCTGAAGATAAATCCTTAAGTAGACCTAGTGCTGTACCTGGAGGGAAGCTGTCACCAAAGTTGTAGCTTTCAAGATAAAGTCAGTCGAAGATATCAATATCATCAACAAACTGAATTGTTCAAAAATAAATTGTGATTCAGTCTAATATTAGCATTGATATCATCATCATCATCAAACTGAATTTTAATAAAAATGAGATAACCAAAGCAGAAAAAGACTAAGTACAGGTATACATTATATGTTACTGAGTAGTGACAGAATAAAATATGGATTCCCAAACACCCTCTCCCCTTGCAGCCACATGTCCGTACAATCTTGGTTAACTTCTCTCGACTCACTTCACCTTCTGCCATTCCAAAACCCCATATCCTTTTCTTATTTCTTCCCCCATTCATTCTGACAACTTCAGATGCACCCCTCAGGTAACTTATTTCTGTAGGTTAAATTACCCAGCAATCCACTTCAACTTAATCCTGTTTCACTGAGATATATCAAGGTAGCAAATAATGCCACCCATTTATTCATCACCACCTGAAAGCTAATATTTCTTTCCTTGATAAAACTTTACTTCCCAGTCCTTCAATACCCCTCCTCCTAAACCTTCTTCTTTCCCTAATTTCACTCTCCATCATACTCTCCTCAGTTAACGTTACTCCCAAACACTTGAGTTCCTTAACCTTCCCCAGTATTTCATGTCATCATAACTAAATTTTAAATTGCTCTATATCTGTCCTATATACAAGGTATAGTATTTGGATTATTTTAGATAGCAGGGAAAAAATAATGTTTTGTTTTATATTATCTATCATTGTTTAATTAAGATTCAACAACATACTGTATTCAGGAATATTTTTTGTTGATTCGAGTAGTCGGGTAAGTTTGTATGATCAATACTACAGTACTGTATTGGTGAATGCTAAGCGGGTAATTTTTTTTTTTTATGGGCATTAGCCCACCCGGGCATAGGTCATTTTTAATGACCCACATCAAGGCCTGGGGGGCGAAAATATTATAAAATAATAATAATAATAATAATAATAATAATTATTATGAATATGATAATAATAAATATAGTAATAAAATTAATAAAAATATATAAAAATAAATAACAATTATAATAAAAGAAAAAATAATAGAAATTTATAAAAATTATAAATGATAATAATAATAATAATAACAATAGAGCCATAAATAAATACAATAATGAAAAAATATATCAAGAGTGAGAAATGATACATGGATGTTGTGTTGTCAAAGTATGAGAAATAATTGAGACCCTGCAACTGTGTGTAAATGAGGCAGAGAGTCAGAACAGCAGCCTGGGACTTGGTCACAATTTTTGTGATGAAATATGGCAGCAGGGTCCACCATTAGACAACACATTATGCTTCCAATATCTTCCCAGGCGGTACTACCTCCCTGTTTGGTAGCTGCCTACTACCTGTAATGATTTACTATCCAATAAAATAACCTATCCATACATGGTTTGGAACAAAGGTATCAGGTTAGTCCATGTTTGACTTTGACATCTGATGAAGCATCCAAACTATGTTCTATTCTACAAATACTAAGCAAGTACTGGACTGTATTTACTTTAAATGAAACTCATGTGCTCACTAATTAGAAGACATACGTGAGCCATCTTCATTGCTGGAGAACTGAGGTCATCGGTCTTGAAATAAGCACTTATAAACTGTACCAATGTTGGGTGAGGATGGACCTTTTCCCCAAAAGCTACAGCCACCCCTGAAATATAAACAATAATATCAGACCAGCTTTCTTAACCCTTACAGTCAGAGGACATACCTTGTACATCCTACAACACCAAGAAGTGCATCAGAGGATGTACCCAGGACATCCTTAAGAAATACTGTTGTGTCATTGTGTACTGCACACATCATGGTCATCCTTAATATCTCTTCGATTCATATTACGTTGCATAACATTCAAATCCACCGGGCTTGTAGAGTCACAGAAAACGGTAGAAATTGGGAAACCTTTGTAAGGGATAACTCAGATGCTGTATGTTGTTTTATACTACGAATTGTACCAATGTACGGGTATATAATATTAAGTGTATGTACTGATAGTATAATGGAGAACTCAAGGTATCTATATGATGACTGGGAAGATCCAACTGATAGAGACTAGTGTACTAAAAGGGATAAGTGTAACCGTGTGTAGACTGTGTCTGAAGGTCATAATTTTTACGTCTGTGAACGATTAGTAAACATAGCTACCTCAGGTAACAAATGAAAATATATGAGAACAATGATCAGGAAAAGGGATAAATGTATCAGACCTAAGTGAAGTGTTCCAGAAACTATACTAAAAGAAAATATCTTGTATACCTCAGTGTGAGCTTAGTACACCTTGTTACCTCATGTGACAAATAACCACGAACAGTGCAATGATGAGAGAATCTTATGAATGTGTTCAACGATTGCAACGTGTGGGGGAGGATCCCTAAATACAGAGTAAAGTGAAGTGGATATACCCACGGCAAGAAAACATGAGGCTAGGCCTTTGTTCTATGTTGGCATCCAAGATGCCCCGGGCTACAGTTTTGAGTTAATGATATAGCCCAATTAATTTCCCCAGGAACTGGCAAACCAGACCCTTACTTTAGTATGAAATTTAGAATTAAGTTAAGTAATGATAAGGCATAAAGTCACAATATATAGGAAAGAGCATATGTGAGGACAAGAATAATGTCAAGGAGAAAAGTAAAACTAAGCATTCATAGGCCTAACTCATGGTGGGATGCCAAGCGTGGCTCTCAGTCAGGCATCGCTTCTCACCCAAGCAGGTCAGCACCCTAACGCTCGTAATACCCCACCGTACTTATAGAGGCCTATCTAGCAGTTTATATACCTCTTAAAACCTTGCCTAATGTTATAAAGTGAATTAATAGAGTTGTAATAGTGTGTGTGGTGATATAAAAGCCCCTCAGGCATTATTCTCAGTCGGGCATCGCTTCTCACCCAAGCAGCAGGTGCACGCCAAGAGGAATGCTCGGCCCAGCCACCATCGCCCTACTTTGCGGCACCCACATGTTACTGTGAGGAATGCTGCTGGCCACAATGCAACCTCCCTTAAGGCCCCCTGGACATCTCGCATATCAACATCCAGGACAGGAGACAATGACTGTCTTATATGAGATGCTTCGCGGTCGCCACTTAAGGGACATAATACCGGACGCTGGAATAGTCCTGGTATGATTACCTGGGACGTATCCCATCTACCTAGCAAGAGTAGTGTGTGAGCGGGATACCGTTCATGTGTACCTTGGTGCTACAAGGAAGATTGGTGCTGTAAATGTCGGTGCTACAACGTATGTTGGAGTAATTGTATAAAGAATGACCTGGGTAAAGAGGTCAATGATTTGTTTTGAAGAATGAAGATTTTTAAGTAGTTCATTTGGAGGTCATGTATTGGTGTGAGGTGTAATGACCTTAATAGTAGTTATTTTGATGAAGGTCAACTATTTTTGTATTGTAACTGAATGCAATATTTTTTTATTTGGGAATAAATTAGTTAAGTCATGATTTATGCTTCATCCTTCCTTCCACTCATGATTTAGTCAATGAAAAACCTGACCCCAATGCCTGGCTTGCTCTGCCAGCTACCTAAACAAGCTACATACTGTCCAGGGGGTCTGGTGACAGCAACCTTAAAATTAAGAGTAAATTTAAGTTATCCCCTTAGGATTAGGGACCCCAGAAAGGGCAGTATAATTGGTGGATGCTCTCATATTCCACTGGTTGTATTATCACATAACTCTGATGTCTCACTAATCTTATACTGTACTACTGTACAGTACTCGTCTTATTAATTAAGGTGGTGGGGGTAACTATGGTAGTGATGTGTAGGCCAATTATTGTTTTGGTGAAAAGGGTGATGTGGGGGTGATTATGGTGGTGTGTGGGAATAAGTGTTATAATATCGTGATAAAGTGAATAATACTAATGTGTTTGTAAGTGTGTAAGTAACTGAAAATTCCTGTGCCAAGTATTGGAGGGAAATCATTTAATGAAAACTGGAAACTTGGGGTGGCTCAAAGTATGTTTTCTCTAAGTTCATAGCACAACTTCTATTTTCTGTTATTTTTTTATTTTATTTTTTAAGAAAAGGAACCAGGAAAAAAAATGCCCATACAGTATATTGTAACAGTATTTTATCCCACTATATAATCATAAGTAAAATACAGTGTGCAGGTATGATAAATTACTGCATGTGTGTACAGTCACGGACATTAGTTCACTCCCTACTGTGAAACTGAGTCACGAGAACGAGTCTCTGAACTGACTTACCCTAACTGTTGTATCGCGTTTGGGGTCTATGCTGCTTCATTTTGGGAGGGAGTGAACTTTTGACCCCGACTGTACAGTACAGGTATTGTAAATATTCATCGAGAAATAAAACATAAAAGAGGGACAATATAATATTAAGCATAAAACAGTACAGTAGTACATAACATAGAAGTTAAATAACATAAGCTGTGTGCAGGTAAAGTATGGTACCTCTGATGGGGTGTTTGGGGCTTTATTGGCTCCAAGAACTAAGACGTTTAAGATTTCTTTCATGGCAATTGGGAATTTTTCACTCCAGCATTACTTAAGTACTTTCTCACATTATTACATTTCGTACTTAAAATACTGACCTTCAAAGGTAATATCATCATGAGTTGGTCCAATCCCTCCTGATGTTAGAACAAAGGTGTAGCTTTTGGAAAACTGTGCCACTTCATTGGCTATGGTTTGAACATCATCAGGAATCACTGAGACCTAGGGAGTAATGCACATATAAGTTGATTTACAGCAATTCAATGAACCACAAGGTAGCAGAAGGAAAGAAAATAATGTGGGCATAATGAAAAGACCTTAATTCTATATAATTATCTCAATATACTGTAGATAATCTGGTTTTAACTAATTCAGAGTGAACAAAGAGACAGTAATGACATCAATGGACTGAAGGAGGCGGCTCAATTATCGTGACACTGTATATTGTACTGTACTGTATATAAGCCATTAGCTGCTAGTAGCTTCTCTGGGATAATTTGAAATTAATAAATGAACAAACTCAAATCACACCAGAAAATTACATCTTACCCTCCCGACTTTAACACCAAGGCTGTGGAGCTGCCGTGTTAGGAAGAACGTGTTCGTATCTTGAGTTTGCCCCTTCAGAATCTCATCACCGATAACTGATAAAATAATCAATAATTAGTAAAAGAGGTTTTTAAGGAGTCAGTTGTTCAGTTTTTTCTGAAATGTCAAAAAGAACTAAAACAACAGAAGGAGCCTCAACTAACCTTTATGATTTAAGGACACGGTAATTCTTGATCATATACATTAACACAAGTTCCCAATCAAAGTTTTAGCTTTTCACTGTTACTTGCTCAGCAGACAAGCTATTAGTATTTTGAGAGGAAAACCTAGACAGGATATTGTCAGGTCCTGCGACACCCCACCTCGCTGTACAGTATACATGTTAACCAGGGAGGTCCATCAATAGGCCGCTTGTCATCAGCGTACCAAGACTAGTGACCTATATCAGGTGCAGGTAATTTATCTGTACATTAAGCCGTCAATCCACCTCTAGTTAGTCAGTGTAAAGTTGTCAAAATTTCAAAGGAGCCACCAAGCTGAGAGGTTGTAGATGTGACGTGACAGGAATTATGACCTCACATAACAAAGATTTCTGCCACCGACACCATTTCGGCAAGTGATTGGTGGGTTGATACCCACAAGTATGAATGTTTAAGTCTTTATTTCACTCTTCCCATAAAAAATTTCAGGTAAGTAAGTAAGTCAGTTGCCCAGGGCAAGTAAGTGTTCCACATAATCTGCAAAGCCTGGCAGCCAGTCACATCTCTGTTACACACTGTTGGCAAGTACCGGGCATGTATTGGTTCCAAAATGTATCTGTACCTGCACAAGTGTTGATCAAGTCTGGTCTTGAATGAACTCACACTTGGTGCTGTCACAACACTCTGGCAGATTGTTCCAAGAAATCACAATTTTCACTCTGAAAAAGTTTACCTTGACAGTTTTCTGAGCTTGTGGCTTCTTCAACCTTAAGCTGTGACCCCTTGTGGGGTGGACATCTGCTGACATCCACCAGCTCCACTGCCCTCTGGGATGTTTCTCAACTTCAATTAAGTCACCTCTTGCTCGCCTGTAGTATAAGCTAAGCAATTGCAGGCATTATAATCTCTCTGGGTAACTGAGGTGCTGTAGTGCAGGTACCAGTCTGGTGGCTCTCCACTGGTCATTTTCAATCAACTGACAGTCTCTAGCATATCTTGGGGACCAAACAGTGCTCTAATCCAAAGTGGGAAACACCTCACACTTTAAAAGTATTATGAGGCAAAGGCTATCTAGATAACTGAATGTCCTTCTTATAAGACCTTGTTAAGCTGCCATACTGTTCCAAAATATTACCCTGTTGACTTAGTCCATTAATCAGAGTAGTGTGAGTACTGGATAGCACCATTATCTCGTCTGAACCAGAATCAAACCCCGGCCACAGTAGTGAGAGGTAAATGTGTTACTGCTTTACCACCAACACTTCTGAAAAACTTGTAGTTATGGCAAGTTTCTCATAGACTGGTGGACCACACTAGTGGAGTTCTGTCCTTGGTTGAAAGTGTGAACTAGTATGATGATTTTACAGAACTATTATATATGGACTGATATTTTTTACAAGTTGCCCATATTCCGCTGAATCACTGCATGTCGTCTGTTTGTTTACAACCGACCTGCTCGACTAGCAAGTTAGGTTAGGTACGTTTCTTTGGTGGGTTAGGTCAGGTTCTATTACGTTCACCAGTATTCATTTGCGACAGAAATGTAGGTGAATTTATAGTAAAGCACCGGTCTTTCTCTCGCTGTTTTTAATATATATTTCGACATGTTTAGACAATTCGAAGAAATTTTTTCTTCTATGAAATTTTCGCCAGAAATTAAGGATAACCGAGATATTAATTTTCCAATATTATTACATTTGGTCAGTCACAAGTGTCGCCATGTCTTGTTTACATCTGGCAGAGAAGGTCGACCCCACCTCATGCAGTGCTCCTTACATCCATCTTCGCTTCTTAAGCATCTACAGCACATAGCGATAGGAGACTTATTATTGGACAAGAGTTTTTTGTCTTAGCCAATGAACAATGCGTGGGCGAGTCGGGAGCGGAGATTTGAATTTTCAGTACCAGATATGGCTGAACAGGTGGAAGAGCTGTGCCGACATTGTGATAACGATTATTTTATGTCAATTGCCAAGTTTCATCAGAAAAATAGTGAGGCAATTTCTATTTTTTTTTTATAGAAAACACAGTGTAATACCAAACAACGTTATTTGTCCAACCTGATTCTTCTTCAGATTAATGTAAGATGTGGGGGCTTGAACAAAGGGGGGTCCAGGGGGGCAGAGCACCCCTGGTTTGGTTTGGTTTGGTTTGGTTTGGTTTGGTTTGGTTTGGTTTGGTTTGGTTTGGTTTGGTTTGGTTTGGTTAGGTTAGGTTAGGTTAGGTTAGGTTTTGATGGTTGGTAATTTATTTATGTGATTTACTCGAATAGAAAATATCCAACATTTCCTTTAAGATTGTTGGGGTGGGGGGTTATCTCAAAAACTAGTTATTTCCGAAAAAAATGACTATCAAATTTGTTTGAAACTCATCAAATACCATAGGAGAAACATATTTGTAATATCCAAAGAAAGAACGGTGCTTTTCTATAAATTCACCGAAATGCATACATTGAAAGGTACTCAGAATGATGAGATATATCTCGAACTGGACCCAAAAATATTGTGTAACATTATGGGCAACTTGTAAAAAATTATCTATGTATCTAATCTACTTAAAATCTGCATGAAGTGTTCTAAAATATATATATTAATTACCCTATGGAGTTAAACAAATTTCCTACTATAGTAGATGAACATGGGTAGATGATTCGACACATATAGGATATTTAATATTAACAGGAAATTAATGAGTGAAGCTTTAAAAATAAAAATCCATCTTAAATAAAATCCATAAATAGAAATTATATGGGGAATGACTCACTAATTATCCCCGCTGTGGGAACATCAACTGGGGTCCTGTCCCTCACTTCACTGGCCATTCTACCACCTGTTGTCCTCCACACACCCCTCACTGGCAACAACAGTGTCTTTGATTTATGATGAGTTAATATTAATGTTCCCTGAGACGTTGGTGAGATCCTGGAGGAGTAGACAGAAGCGGCTGTTAGTACCCCGCGCCTCAACACCTGAGTTAATACCTCCATCACTCACTACTACACACAGAACTACGAAGATCATTATTTTATCTCGCTATTAATAATTTTATGATATATTCCTATTTTTTTTTTGCATTATAGTGATTCACATAAAATTTTCATCTCTTCATTATGTAAATACGAAGATGAAAGCAATACTCAACAGAAAGTATTAACTGCAGTTTTTATCGGTATTGGACATTCAATTCAACTTTATATTTACACATACTCAAACAAACGTTTATTTAACTTCAAAAGTCACAACCAATTAAAAAATTAGTCCTTAATACACAAATACGCGAGTCATTTGAGTGTCTGCCATATGGTTTTTGTTGATTTATTTCTTTTAGTATTTCAAGAGAAACGTGAATATTTATGTCTAATGTTAAAGTACGTAACACTAACAAGTTCGTTTATTTTTAGTTTAAATACAAATAACTCAAAACTTAATTCAACTAGACCTAATAATCTTAGAGAGATTGGTTAGGTCAATTGTGGTTTGGTCGACTCGTATTGCCAGTTAGCCACAGACAATGATCTCGCGGTGTAGTTAATGGTATAGTTTTAACATTAAGTACGTGTAGCCTTGTATAACTTCGTTCCTTATTTCATCAAATAATTTAACACTTCTCTCTCTGTTAACAGCCCTGAAATATTACGAGACATAGATTTCAGGTAAATCTCTTGATTGAATAGTGATATGACATTTAGCATTAAAGACAAAATAAACGACCCGGACATATTTGTTACCCCGTTAATTATATTCTAAACAAAACAAACGGCGATGGTATAACACACACTGGCGGACTTTAAACTTGTCTGTCTTTATATCTAATCAAAGACCTACTCGCATCGTTAACAATGTCCTTGGAGTTATTTCATCCCACGAGATATAATGAAATATCTTCAACCTTTTCTAAATACCTTCGAATCGCTGTTCTCTGAGCCAGTCCTTTTAAATGCCATTACGAGAACATCATTACAACAAACAATTTAAAACTCGTACGGTGTACAGTATGAGTATTATTATAACCCCTACTAGTTTAATTCATGTATCTTTATTTCTTTGGCACACAAAAAAATCATATAAATGCCACTTCTTTGAGTTTATAACCATTTTGATGGATATTGAATAATAATAATAATAATAATAAAATTATAATGATAATAATTCAGTAAAACTGTCATGCATGTTTACAATTAGAAATGCATATAGAAATAAAAAGGTAAAAATAAACTACTGCATATAGTTACTGTATATACCCTATATTTCAGTATGAATATAGACAACGTAAAGAATTGGGAGTAGTTTATGTTGGCAGTGGGAGTACAATAATTGCACTTTATCCTCTTAGTCGTCTGTACCTGCGGCAGTGTTGATCAAGTTCTGTAAATGTCTGGATGAGCAAAAGCTTCCCAGTGACTGGAAAATGGTTTATGTGAGAACTATGACCATGACCACGGCCCATTTTTTTCAATATTCAACTTTCAATATTAAAAAAAAAAAAAAAATGGCCGCTTTGGATCGTTGTGCCGTGGGGGAAGAGGAGGGGAGTGTGGGGAAGGACGACCTCCTTGCCACGCTGTTAAGGCAGCTGGGGCAGTTGAGGAGTGAGGTTGACACTCTAAAGGGGGAAAATGAAGCCCTCAGGACGGAACTCCTTCAGGTAGGTGTCCTGCCTAGCAGGACACCTGCGAAGGAGGAGCAGGCGTGGAGAGTGGTTGTCTCCAAGGGGACTAGGGTCAGGCTTAGGAAAGCTGACCAGGGTGTGGAGTGCAGTAACCCTTACCAGGTGCTGCAGGAAGCTGGAGAGGAAGAGAAGAGGCAGGACGGTATGGATCAAGGAGAGGAAAGGGCAGTTGTACAAACCCTGCCCACAGGTAAGGTCGTGGTAGTTGGTGACAGCCAGGTGAGGTTTATGGATAGGGCTTTTTGTGCGAGAGATAGGAAACGTAGGACTAGGGTATGTTTTCCTGGGGCTGGGATAGGGCATGTAGCCGAGAGGTTAGACAGAGTTTTGTCAGGGGAGGGTACCAATCCAGTAGTGTGTCTTAGTGTGGGAGGAAACGACATAGGTAAGGTTAGGAGTGAGGAACTTTTCAAGAGGTATAGGGAGGCGCTGGGGAAGATTAGAGATAGGGGAGGGATCCCGATAGTATGTGGTGTCTTGCCTAGAAGAGGGGTTGGTCGTGAATGGCTGTCCAGGGCAATTGCTATTAATTGCCGACTGGAAAAACATTGTGCAAACAATGGTTGGGCATTCATTGATGACTGGCAACGATTTTATGGCAACGACTACCTGTACTGTCGCGACGGAGTACACTTGTCTCGTGAGGGGGTAAAGACGTTGTCTGCATCCCTGGAGCGTGAAATTGTCACTCCGAAGGGGGGGTTTCGCCAGTAGAGAGGGGTCGGGGAAAATGGGAGTCAAAAAACAAGCAGGTCCTGGGAAGTAGTGAAACAGAAGTAGATAATGCTGAAAATATAGTTAGTCATAATAACAAACATCAAAGTAATAAATGTAAAACAGATAGAAACGGAAGAAATATATTGAGTGTTTATTATACTAATAGTAGAAGCCTGTGTAACAAAATGGACCAGCTCAGGGCCATTGTTAGTAAAGAGAACATAGATATAATTGCAATAACGGAAACATGGATAAATTCAAACAGCAAGCATTTTTTAGCAGAATTTCATATTCCAGGATATAACCTATTTAAATTTGACAGAGTAGGAAGGAGAGGTGGCGGTGTAGCAGTGTATATCAGGGTGTCATTAAAAAGCTGCAATAAATCAAACATTAAAACAAATAGCGACAATGAAAGTATTTGGGTAGAGATTGGTGAGGGCAGTGAATCCGTAGTCATTGGTGTTATATATAGACCACCTAATTTGAGTAGGAACGATGGTAAATTGCTATGGGAGGAAATAAAGAAGGCATCTGATAGAAACAATGTATGTATTCTAGGCGATTTCAACTTTTCAGGCATAGATTGGAAAAATCAACTTAGCGATAATGAATCTGAAGATTTTCTAGAAGTAGTACAAGATAGTTTTTTATATCAATTCATAAACTCGCCCACTAGAGGAAATAATATCCTCGATTTAGTTCTCAGTAATAATGAAAATCTAGTAAAAGATGTTGGGATTGGAGACGAACTAGGAAACAGTGATCATAAAGCCATATATTTTAACATAATATGGGATGGCAGGAAGAAGGAAAATTCGGCCTTGATCCCGGATTTTAGGAAGGCTAATTACGGTAGCTTAAGGAGAGACCTAAGGGATGACCCTATGGTCAAAAGATTAATCCCCCCCACACCTCCGGAAACTGTCAACTTAGGACGGGATAACCCCGAATTTAATTTAGCAGCTACTTATGAACAATTTATTGCGACAATCAATAATGCCCAAAATAAACACATCCCTAAAAGAAAATTCAGATCGATACGGAACCAACCAAAATGGATGAATAATAGACTCTTAGATCTTCTAGGGAAAAAGAAAGGAGTATATAGAAAAGTTAAGAAAGGCGAAAATCACTTACTTGGTTACTATCAGAACCTAACAAGACAGGTATAAACAGAAATTAGGAAAGCAAAGAGAAATTATGAAATCAAGGTAGCAAACGAATCGAAATATACCCCCCAAAGCTTTTTATCAACTGTATAAATCAAAGGTTAGAGATACAATAGGTCCCCTTAAAACTACGACAGGAGAAATGACTGATGATGAGTTAGAAATGTGTAGTACGTTAAATAGTCATTTTCGCTCCGTATTCACAAATGAAAACCTAGCACAGTTTCCAGAAGTTCATAAGGTATATAACGACAGTATAGAAAATATGTTGATGAATATCAATATTACTGTTGTGATCAGCAAAGTAATTAACAAACTGAAGCCTCATAAATCGCCTGGTCGGGCGGGTATATGCTAGAATATTAAAAGATGTAGAGATGAGTTGAGTAATCCATTAGCGGATTTTTATTTAATAAGTCATTGAATCCGAGACTGGTGCAGAAGCTTGGAAACTTGCCAAATGTAGTTCCGATTTTCAAAGGGTGATAAATCAATAGCATCAAATTACCGTCATTAGTCTCGTCAATCATAGGCAAGTTGCTAGAGTCAGTGTGCTACAAATCAGAAGCCTTGGAAACATTCAACTTAATTCATTCTTCTCATACGGGTTCACCCAGGGGCGTTCTTGTCTCTAAATTTGCTTAGCTTTAGTATTTGACGGTGAATAATGATAAGTCATGCTGTTCTAATTTATTGAATTTCAGTAAAGCATTCGATAGAGTCCTCATGAGAGATTGATAAGGAAGGTAGAAGCATACGTGGAATAGGTGGATCAGTATTAAAATGGATTAGGTCATGGTTAACTGGTAGAAACATAAATGGATTTAAGTCAGACTGGGGTGCGGTCAAAAGCGGAGTTCCCCAGGGATCTGTATTAGGCCCTCTGCTGTTTGTTATATTCATTAATGATCTTGATTTAGGTATAACTAGTAGGATTAGTAAATTTGCAGATGATACCAAAATGGGGAGAGTGATAAATTCAGACAGTGACTTTGAACACCTTCAAAGAGATCTAGATACCTTACATGAGTGGTCAGTAGACTGGCAAATGAATTTTAATGCTGATAAATGCAAGGTGCTACAGATAGGGAAGACGAATACAAACGTTAAGTATAAACTAGGTAACACGGAAATAGAAAACTCAGATTGTGAAAAAGATCTAGGTGTATTTGTTGGCAACGACTTGAAACCTAGAAAACAATGTATTAGCGTTCGCAACAAGGCAAACAGGATTCTTGGGTTCATATCTAGGAGTGTGAGTAACAGAACTGCTGACGTTATCTTGAAACTTTACCTAGCATTAGTGGCAAGGGCCACACACATAGATTTATGCGGTTCAGTTCTGGTGTCCTTATTATAGAATGGACATAGATTCTTTGGAGAGGAGTACAAGAAAGAATGACAAAAATGATCCATAATATTAGAAACCTTCCATATGAAGAAAGACTGAAAAAGCTTGGAAGCATTCATTAGAGGCGTAGAGTTAGGGAGATATGATAGAGGTGTACAAGTGGGTAAAGTGGGATTAACAAAGGGTAAAATGGAAGATGTTCTGAAGCTCCAGTAATAACGAAATAACTAGAACAAATGGCTTTAAATTAGATAAATTCCGATTCAGAAAAGGTTATGAGCAAGCACTGGTTTGGTAATGGAAGTTGTGGATATGTGGAATAGGCTGCCGAAGGTGCTATAGTAGGATCGGGGACGCTAGGGAGCTTCAAGACGAAGTTGGATAGGCACATGGAAGTGCTGGGATGGGTGTGAAAAGGATCTGCCCTGTATGGGCCAGTCGGCCTCCTGCAGTATCCCACTTTCTTATGTTCTTATGTTCTTATGAGTCAAAGCGTAAAAAAATGTCGTAGCTCAAGTTATGATCAACTCTTAAATGCTTTTGACCATCCAGCTCCTGAACAATAAAGTTCATAACAAAGTAAGTAAGAGCAACCCATCCACCCGAACGACTATTAACTAAGACTGGCGAAATTATGATTTAAAACATTCTTAGAAAGGTTTTCCCATACTCAGGCACTGCACCTTTGTTTCTATCTTTAAGTGTACTGCTGTTTATGAATATATGAATGAGTCAGTCAAAATTTTTAGGCAATTAACTTGACCGAGAAACAAAATATTAATAGACCCGTAACTCACCACAACACAGTTCACAATCCGAATGTTTACTCCTGATCTGTCGCCTTCATGTCTCATCACGGTGATTAACGGCTAAATTTACATCGATTTTACAATTTCCATGTTTTCAAAGATACTTAGAATTAGTAGGGACATAGGAGAGGATTAATGGATTAGTATTAATTTAGATTTAAATGGTTTTACCTGTTTTGACGTGACATCGCTAAACGCCCATTGAGCGTTGAGAACTACCTTGTTTGATTATCAATTGATTTTGTACCACTTTATACTAGTGAATGAAAAATATTTGTCCATAATTATCTTCAGAGAAATATTCATAGCTGTAAGGTTGACAATTTTTCTAGTAAGACTATGACTGAACAGTTTACAATGAAGCACTAAAGACGTTACACATAAGGCTGCACATGGAATTGAACCTTAAATAAGGATATTAGTAATACTTTATGCTAATACTCTTGACATCAGACTCGGAGGAACGAGCCACTTTCAGGAAATTTTCTATAGAAACTTTTTCTTACAATATGAATATAAAGAAATTGGTGGAGGAATAGCAACTTTCCTATTTATGGTTTTCCAATGTCTTCACCCTCAGCACATTTCTCCATCAAGGAATCTGCCATTTCTTGTTTGTTATGTGTGCGCCAGTAGACAAGTGACGTTTAATGGACATCTATAAACACAACGAAAACCAGCAATTTTATAGGAGTTAACTTCTATAAAGAAACTTTCTGAAGTTGCTAGTTATCTGCACCCGTGTCCTGAGTACTATATTACCCACCCAAGAAACAAATGTTATAAATTCAGAATCCTGAAAACTGCTAATTTAGTGGTGTTCGTGTTAAACAGTATTACCAAAATGAGTTTATGGTCACTTGATTCATGGAAAATTGTCTTCTCAAGTCAACCTAAGAAAAGCTCAGAAGTCTAGTTATACTGTATGTGTTTTGCAACACTTATTATTGGCATACAGTGTTGCAAGGGCAAATTAGATACTGTGCAAAGATGAAGGGGACAGCTACCATTTTGTGTCATAATATTCTATGATGTGATCATTTTATTTATGAAGATCAGTAGTGAGGTCTGTTTCCATTATGGCAACTGAAGTAGCTATTGTATACTTCTTTTACAACAGACAAATTTAATCAATAAATCTCAACCTAACCTTATGTAATTTTAGTAGAATGCATTCTACGACCACTGGGTCAAGTTAGTTAAGTAGGTTGATTAGATTAGGCAAATAGAAAGGAAAATCCAAATGTGAAGGCTCTCTTATGATAGGATTATTGAATACCCCACAAATTGGTTAAAATTTATTGCAATACTGAGATTCATAATTATATACTATACTGTGCTGTACTGGGATCTTAGAGTAGGTTTGGTCTCATTTAAATAAAGTTACATTGTGTTGATTCAACTCAGTATCTCTTGTCAATGGTTTAGCCTTCTAGTCTCCACCAAAATTACAGATGAGTTGGAATTGCATTTTCTGTATTACAGTATAAGAACCATATCAGTGAAGATCTCTTAAAAAATATAAATAGATTAGAAGCTGGTTACAGCTACACACTACAGTATTTTAACTTCCATTGAAACAAGTGGTGTAACCCCCAGTGTACAATAAATTATACCTTTGAGTAAGATTTCTTTAAGGACAATGATGTAATCCCTTCATTATAAAAGCTTAATCCTTTTTTATAAGATGTCTTAACATTTTGAATACAACTAAGCCACCATAATCAAGGGGTTCAAGTTGAACAGACCTTCAGGAACTGGCAACATTTACAAGAGTTTTTATAAAATAACAGCATTTTCAAATTACAATTTTAATGTACAGTACTCCTTCTGATTATTAAACTCGTCCATAATCTTAGGAAGTTTTATGAAAATCTGTGAACTGCTTCAAGAACTAGCAATAGCTACTAAACAGTTATACAAAGGATGAGCCACAAATGCAGATGCAGTGGCATCCACATTCCATACCTTTCCATCATTCAAGTACTGTACACAGTGCAGTACTGTATGATAAAGAAGCTTTCCCTTAAAAATCCACTCATCTAAAATGAGTAGGCTAGGTTAGGTTAGCATGTAGGATACTTATGAGAATAGACAAGTCATTGAAAATTTGAGAAAATGTTGAGTTAATTACTGTATGTACTGTATAGTATGGAAAAGGTAATGTGCCATAGAATTACCCACATAATTTATATAAAATGTTTAGAGTTTTGATGGGTTAGAACCTTATTAATCCTAACCTTTTAATGTCCCTTTTTTTTTTTTAGATTTTTTTTTTTGGTTAAAGTTGTTGAAGAACCCGGCCAATTTTACCTGCATATAGACACCAGTCTGACCCTCAAAGCACGTAAAAAATATATACATTATAGATAGTGTATTGGTGCCTGGTACTGTAATTGGACGGTGAAATATTTTATCTTCTAGAAAAGCATTAATTTTTTAAAGCAAAAGTTTTATATGTGCCCTTTTATTATTGTACTAAGTTTCCTGCCATTGCCAACTTTAATGTCACATTAGCAGTGCATGATACAGTACTACTGTAAACTGTTCATTTATACTGTAGCTATCTACAGTATCTCTTTTTTCCTTTACTAAATTTTCTTACAGGAGTAGAGATCACTGCTATTTGATTGTAAGTTCTGAACAAGTAATGGTATTTTTTTTTTTTACGGGATTAGCCCACCCGGCACAGGTCACTGACCCACATTGGGGCCTGGGGGGAGAAAATGTAGTAATAATAATAATAATAATAATAATAATAATAATAAATAATAGTCATAATAATTCATAATAAATAAAATTTATGATAAAACAAACAAAAATTAAATAATAAAATAATGATGATAATAATACAGTAACTGTAATAATAATAATAATATTAATAATAATAAAGAACTATAAATACAAAAATGAAAAAAAAGGTCAAAAGTGAGAAACGATATATGTATGTTGTGTTGTCAATGGTAAGAGAAACAATTGAGACCCTGCAATTGCATGTAAATGAAGCAGAAAGTCAGTCAGCAACCTGGGACTTGGTCACAATTTTCGTGATGCATTTAAATTAATTTAGAAAATGTTTAAACTTTTCCTTCAGCAGTATAGTTAAGAGTAATCTTGTTTTTGTTCAAAAGGATTGATATAGATATGACATGACCTATAATATTATCATTATAGATCTCTACACAATTTGTAAACAAGTGGTGCATCTGTAAATACTGATAGTATTGACTGTACAGTATTATACAGTGTAGATATTCAACGATGGTAAGAAAAAGCTTCTGATTATTTACCCAGTTTTAAAGTACAGTAATTAGGGATTTTCTAAATACAGTATAGATTTCAGAAAGGTGAATTTTGTATCATATTTGACAAGGATATGGTTGATTGATATAACTTGGTCCTTGTTTCTCACTACCAGCCACTTATTAGTTGATGGTGTGTTTGGCCATTTTTAATACCTCTTCATCCCTACACATCAGATCATCCCTTCACCAGCAATTTACTCCGTACACTTTAATCATCCTTTCAATTCATTACCCGAGACAGAAATCTTCATAAATATGGTAGGCCTCACCCATCTTCATTGTTGTGGAAGAATCATTGAAATGTGTTTTTGTTTATTAACTATTATTATTATTATTACAGAACCATTATTATTAATATTACTGTTATTATTCTGTATATAATTTGTTTTATTACAATGTAGGGTAGTTATATAGAAAAGATGTCTTGGCCCCCAGCATCCAACAGCTTGTAAGTTAGACCATCCATTTGACAGGATGTTAGGCCATTCAACGGTTGTTCTACCCTTGACAAGCACACCCAATTATGTATTTACAGTTTTATAGAGTACTGTACTGTACTGTATAATGCTATTTCTCTGGAGGTGAATTAAAGTGAAAATTTTAAATGGATTTTATCTTTTCAGAGTTGCTGATGACATGAGAACCCTTGGGAAATATTACAAGACCCCAAGTGAACACTAAAAGCATCAGAAAAGCTGGAGCACACACCATCTTAATGGCTCATGATATCCACCAAGGGACGATTGCTAGGGATGAATACATTTTGCCACAAGGAGTGTTACCTGATACGTTAGGCCGTGGGGCTGTGGAACGTGAAGCTGCCATGACTAACTGTAACTTGACGGCCATTACTCATGTAATCCAGAAAAGACCCTTTCAGTCTCCATTGGAGGTCAGAGACGTTAAGAAACCAAGATCTAAAGCTCTCCAATTTATTTGCTGCATGCCAGAGTGTGCAGAGAAGTTCAACAGCCGTGAGCACCTTGAAACTCACATGAAATTACATCTAGGTGTCAAACCATTCACCTGTGATGTGTGTGGCAAGGTTTGTCAAACAGAGAGCAAACTCAAAACTCACCAAGCATCTCATGCTAATGATGGATTCAAACCTAAATGTGATATTTGTGAAAGGAGCTTTTCGAGTCGCAGTGCATTAAACAAGCATAAAAAGATGTTACACAAGCCTAAACCCCACGTTTGTCTGCACTGCAACTCGGGATTTGAAGAACGCAAGTACATGGTCATCCACGCTAAAAGAGCCCATGATGTAGATCTGCCACTAGAGGTGAAAGAGTTACAGCCTCCCACTTCAGCAGTAAATTTTGAGGTGAATAACTTTAATTCAAGTACAAGTGCAAATGACTGCAAAAATTTCTTCAAAGGAAGTTTTTGTGAACCTATTACTGTAAACCTACAGACGCTGTCTGCTCCTCCAAATCAATCCTTTGATCCACCAAAAGAACATTCACAGTCTGACTCAACAATGTTGCAAAAGAAAACAGATATTTCTGGTGCTCCCGCTGTCTGTGTTCCGATTAATTGTGAACTTTGCACATCAACTTTTCCTTCTATGGCATACTTAGAGCAGCACATGGCAGTTCATTTAGGGGAGAAAACTTTCATTTGCCACAATTGTGGGATCAGTTTCTCAAATCGCCATGATCTGAGTAACCACATGAAGCTCCACACCTCGGACAGTGATAGCGCAAACTTTATAACAACAAACTTTAGCACTGGTAGCTTCAGTCAGTTTGTCCCTCTGCCTACACAACCTGGGCCTACGAGAGGCCCACAGATATTTGATAAATATATTTGTGTTGTTTGTAATGAACAGTTTTTAAATCTTGGGAGTCTTAAACGACACCAAGCAAAAGGACACAACACGGCTGTGTTGAGCATCTGATGTATGCTTTGTTATAATGCAATTTATATTATTGCTTATATATGTATTAATATAGTTTACAAAAGTAGTAATGCAGCTGTTGATTCTTAAAAAAGAATCTATACTGTAAATGAGATTACTATAATAATAAGTTCCTATTTGTGTATAATGGAGCAGCTACCTAGTTAATATTGCATGTACTGTAAGATATTATAAAAAAATTCAGATTGTTTACACGCAAATGCTTTCAGCTGAGTACATCAGTTTTAACGATGTGCAATGTTGCTTTGCTTTCCATTACTGTATGTATATCAGTGCCTGTTTATGTTAATTGATTCTACATGTGATATAAATATTTCACCTAGATATATGTGTGTGTGCTACGAGTTATTTTATAACCATTTTCCCAAAGTACTTTTACTTATACCATTGCAGATCAGTTAGGAATTGTATTATTTTTAAAAAACATAACCCCCTTTTTTTGATTTTGAAGTACCCTGTACAGAAATATTTTATTTTGTTGATATTTTTGCTCTATTTACTTTGAGTACCATTATATGAAAGGTTGAGCAACATACAGGTATCCCTTGTTTAGTATTAAATCACCTAACGTTAATTCGGGTTAGTGATTTTTTTTTTTAACTCCCTTTCTCACTTAACGTTAGGTCAAAATTTGGTTTTGTGATAGCTTGACTCACTGGGAGGTGGAAAAACTGGGGATGACATGGCCTGTGAGATGGCATGTTACCATTGTTGCATGTAATGAAACTATAAAAGTTGTGGAAAATCATTACAATACAGCACAGTACTCAAATGGCTAAGAAATACAGAATTTACAGAATAATAGTACTGTATAATATAAAACTATAAGATAAGATAATTGAAAAGCTTGGGTGTGTATGTGTGTGAAGTGAAAGTATGTGTGCAGCCAAGTTATTCAGAGAAATTAAGAACTAAACAGACTGTGAAGAGCAGCAGAAAGATCTCTCTTAGATTCAAAAGTGGTTGAAGAAATGGCTGCTAACATTCAATGACAAGAGTTGTAAGAGGATGCACCTCGGTCATACCAACAGTGAGGAGGTGTATCACATGTCCCAATGGGAGGAAGAAATAGCATTAATAGAGACCGAATGAGAAAAGGACCTGGGTGTGTGTGTGTGTTGACAACGAACTAAAGTTCTCGGGCCATTGTGAGAAGAAGGTAAATCAAGCAACTGAACTATTATAGTAGGTCTTATAAGGTCGTTCAGATATCAAGGAGGTCCGTTCCCTCGTCACGATCTTTGAGTGCAGTGCTTCCTCGTCTGGAGTACTGTCACCCCGTCTGGTCCCCAAAATATGTTAGATACTGTCAGTTAATTGAAAATGTCCAAAGGAGGGCCACCAGACTGGTGCCTGCACTTTGGCACCTCAGTTAACCAGAGATTAGAATGCCTGCCACTGCCTAGCTTATACTAAAGATGGGCAAGGAATGACCAAATTCAAGTTTGTACTTGAATTAGGGTACTACTCAGTTGAGTTCATACCTGGAGCTGGCAGACACCCACCCCATTAGAGTTCACAGCTCAAGGTTGAAGAACCTACAAATCTAGAAAACTGTGAGGGCAAACTTATTCGTAGTGAGAATCATAACCTTAGAACAATCTGTCAGAGTCATGGCACTGTGTGATCTCTTTCAAACCAGACTTGACCAACACTGGAGCTGGTACAGATACATTCAGGAATCAGTGCATGCCCAGTGCTTGCCAACAATGCATAACAGAGACGTGACCAACCAGCGAAGAGGATAAAAGTAAAAGTAAATTAAAAAACAATGTCATGCCTCAATAATTTCTTTCAATGATATATGCTAGATATGACAAAACAAGTGGCCTCTGCAGTTAATAGGTGATACAGGATATCCAGTTACACAAATCATTACCACAGAAAATTCACTTAGCTGTGTCACAGTGGAAAAGAACTACAGGTGCTCCAAGTAAATTAAGTGGCAATGGTATAGTATTTATATAATAGTCAAGCTTTAAATCATTACAGCAGCAAATTTAACTTCTTTTATTAATAGTAGATGGGGTGGCATCAAAAGCCATGAGGGACCAAATAAAAAGAAATACCAACAATTGTTTTGACTATCCTGATGACATTAAAAGAATTTACAAGCTAAAATAAAATGTATATTAATCATTTTAGATACTAATGGTAAGACCAAAGTTAGGGTATTCAATGACAACTCAGCATTGAAAATGTCAAAATGACATTTGTAATTGACATGGTCAATGAAAGATGTCTAAAGAACAAGCATATGTCAGGGACCAGACAGGGAAGCACTTCACTCTTGAAGATTGTTACGAGGGACGGGCCATTTAGATATCTGAATGACCTTCTTATAAGACCTAATAATTTAGTTGCCTAGGTACAGTGCCATACAGTACTTGGTGTACATAGACCATTTAGGCACAGTATATAGTTTTCTTTTACTTTACTTTTATCCTCTTCACCACTGATCGGCTCGTTAGCCGCTTGGGTGATCGATCACGTCTCTGTTACGCACTGTTGGCAAGTACTGGGCATGCACTGGCTCCTGAATGTACCTGAACCTGCTACAGTGTTGTTCAAGTCTTGTCTTGAAAGAGCTCACACTCGGTGCAGTCACAACACTTTTTGGTAGATTGTTCCAAGAGCTCACAACTCTCACTCTGAAAAAATTGCCCTCACAGTTTTCTGGACTTGCAGCTTCTTCAATCTTGAGCTGTGACCCCTTGTGGGGCGAGCGTCCGCCAGCTCCAAGTAAGGACACTCGACTGAGTAGTGCCCCTTGAGATGCTTATACACCTCAATTAGGTCACCCCTTGCCCGTCTGTAGTATAAGCTTGGCAAGTTCAGGCGCTCCAATCTCTTAGGGTTTTCAATGTACCTAGACAGTGCTGGTACAGTATACAAGAGTAAAAAGTAAGGTATTTTGAGCTAAGAGCTGACAAAGCCACCAAATGGTTATTTTAAGTCAAAGTCCCTAAGCCCTGTATCCACACTTTATCAGCTGGGAACTAGTAGCAACCTGTAAGAGGGTTGTGGTAATTTATACCCTGTAATAGAAAGGACTTAAGAGCTAGTCAAGTGAGGGTGCAGGGAGAAGTTAAAAGATATCAAAGATTAAGGTTGAAGAAGCCACAACTTCAGAAAACCATCAGAGCCCTTTTTTTGTGATAGTTGTGAACTTTGGAACAATTTTCCAGAGCATTGTGATGGCACCGAGTGTAAGCTCATTGAAGACCAGACTTGACCAACACTGATGCAGGTGCAGATACATCCTAGAACCAGTACATGACCATACGGTATTGGTTAACAGTGTATAACAGAGACGTGACTGACCACCCAAGCGGCAAACAGACCGGTCAGTGGTGAAGAGGATAAAGTAAAGTGAAGTGATTTACTCATTGTTGGTTGCATTTACTGATTCCTTAATCACAGTTCATTAAAACAAAGAAACTTATAAGCCGTAATAGTCAACACAACAACACTCAACTCTAAGCACATCCTTGTATTGGAAGCCTATTACATATTCTGGCAACATCAACTAGAGAAATGAAATTACAGTACTGTACATCAAATGACATGAATAACCTTGCAACTCCTTTTGTAGAAACACATGTTGTCCTTCAGATTTGACTTTTACATAGTGCATGATGAGGGCAGATCAAGGTTCAAATGTTACAATACCTAACGAGCCGATCAGTGGTGAAGAGGATAAAAGTAAAGAGTAAAAGATTACTGCGGTAACGAGCGCCCCTCTCGACCCGGACACACAAGAGAAGGGTGTTACCCAGTATGACCCCACCAAACATCAGCTTTCCACAGTTTCCTCCTGACTTAACACTGCAGAGGCCAACCGCTCGAACGGCAAGTAAGCTGTTAAGTGGCCTGACATTTAGAAACGAATGTGGATACTACCCTGAATATCACAGACAGTAAAGTCAACTATCTGGTTGAGTAATACATACCCAAGATAAAACCCGTTGACTCCGGGACTACTAGGAGACCGCTACACATAAATCTTGGGGCGGTTGACAAAGTTAAAATCTCAGAATTTCAAGAGATGGATCACCACTGAAGGATATTTGATAGAGCCAGGAATCAAGATAAGTCAGAGTGTAGAAAGGCTGAACAATAGTTTAAGAGGAGATTGCAATAACGAGGCCACTTGAAATCCTCAGGCAAATTAGAATTAAAGTTGTTTGTTTGTTTCATAAATGACATACCTGACGTTGTACATTCCTCCATACAAATATTTGCCGATGGCGCCAAGTTTATTTCGGGAAATAAAGAACCAAGCGGACTGTGAAGAGCTGCAGAAGGACTTCTGTGGGCTCCAAGAATGGTCGAAGAAATGGCTGCTGAGATTCAATGTCACGAAGTGTAAGAGGATGCACCTGGGGCGTACCAAAGGTATGGAGGCGTATCATAAGTCCCAACGGGATGAAGAAACTGCACTATTTGAGACTGAATGTGAGAAGGACCTAGGTGTGTATGTTGACAATGAGCTGAAGTTCTCGGGCCATTGCGAGAATAAGGTAAATCAGGCAAATAAATTATTGGGTCATATAAGAAGGTCGTTCAGATATCTAGACGGTCCGTCCCTCGTAACGATCTTCAAGAGTGAAGTGCTTCCCCATCTTGAGTACTGTCACCCCGTTTGGTCCCCGAGATATGCTAGGGACTGTCAGTTGGTTGAAAATGTTCAAAGGAGGGCCACCGGACTGGTGTTTGCACTTCGGCACCTCAGCTACCCTGAGAGATTAGAGCGCCTGAACTTGCCAAGCTTATACTACAGACGGGCAAGGGGTGACCTAATTGAGGTGCATAAGCATCTCAAGGTGCACTACTCTGTCGAGTGTCCTTACTTGGAGCTGGCGGACGCTCACCCCACAATGGGTCACAGCTGAAGATTGAAGAAGCCGCAAGTCCAGAAAACTGTGAGGGCAAACTTTTTCGGAGTGAGAGTTGTGAACTCTTGGAACAATCTACCAGAAAGTGTTGTGACGGCACCGAGTGTGAGCTCTTTCAAGACAAGACTTGACCAACACTGGAGCGGGTTCAGGTACATTAAAGAGCCGGTGCATACCCAGTACTTGCCAACAGTGGGTAACAGAGACGTGACCGATCGCCCAAGCGGCTAACGAGCCGATCATTTGGTGAAGAGGTTAAACGAAAAAAGAAAAAGAAAGACAAGAGTGGGTATGTCAGATCTGAGACTTGAGTATACTGTAGTAGACTACGCCGACTTAGATGATGCCACGAAGGAGGTATTAAATAAATAATTAACCATGATGTTCACAAAATAATGTGAACAGGGTCCCTTCCTTTAAGGAAAGTTGGTTTGACATAGCACTAACACACACTGAGTTCTCAGAAGAGGGAATAAGACTAAATTGTCAAAACTCAAGGTTCATAAGAGCCCTGCAATGTATCCCAGTGTTAAGAAAGGTGTGCAACGAGTCTGCAGAGCTTCTTAAAATCCAGTTCTGTATATGAAGGAAAGAGCTTATCTGAACTTACTAAATACGTTTCGAAACGATAAATTTCTAACGTAAAATACGTAAGTGTCCGTGAAATCTGATAACTATCGTTTTCTCTTAATCTTTACCCGATACTTTCTTTCATAGAAAACTAATAATTTCTCAATCGTGGACACTTTTACTTATCTTTTTTACTTTTATCCTCTTCGCCACCGATCGGCTCGTTAGCCGTTTGGGTGGTCGGTCACGTCCCTGTTACACAGTGTTGGCAAGTACTGGGCATGCTCTGGCTCCTGAGTGTATCTGAAACTGCTCCAGTGCTAGTCAAGTCTGGTCTTTAAACAGCTCACACTCAGTGCCGTCACAACACCCTCCGGCAGGTTGTTCCAAGAGTTCTCAACTCTCACTCTGAAAAAGTTTGCCCCAACAGTTTTCTAGACTAGCGAAGGAAGAGTAAACTAGTGAGTTTTAACGTGGTATTAGCAGTCTTTGTTATCCATATTTACACACACACACACACACACACACATATATATATATATATATATATATATATATATATATATATATATATATATATATATATATATATATATATATATATATATATATGCAAGTAAATCACTGTAGGTGCGCGTGATCTAGGTATATGCTGATAACCACAAGGAAAGAAGAAAACACGAAGTTCCCAAGCGCTTTCGTGTAATTCACATCTTCAGGGGTGAGTACAGACTAAAGAGAAGTACAAAACAAGGTGTATATATACAGAGGAGGGTGAGATCAGGTCCACAATGGTCAGGTATTAGGTAATGACCCTACTAATCTTTAAATAGCACCGCAACGGTCGGTAGTCAGGTCAGAGGGTAAGGTGACCCAACCTTCTCACCTGGTTACAAATCTTCTTAATTACAAAATTGTCCAGTTTGTACATGCCATTACTCAAATTCATGTTGAATGCTTCGATATGTTTAATGAGACTAGATTCTATGATGTTCCTACTATCAATTGAATTACAAGGTAATATTGAGGAGGCATTATCCCAGTCAATGCACTGCTTGTTATCCCTCAAATGAACAAACAGAGCATTGGATTCCTGGCCTGTCCTAACACTGTATTTATGTTGTTTAAGTCTAGTTACAAGATCTTTACCTTGTTTTGTACTTCTCTTTAGTCTGTACTCACCCCTGAAGATGTGAATTACACGAAAGCGCTTGGGAACTTCGTGTTTTCTTCTTTCCTTGTGGTATATATATATATATATATATATATATATATATATATATATATATATATATATATATATATATATATATATATATATATATATATATATATAATGTTTGACTACAGTTCTCCCCTTCTTGTGTCCTCATAACAATCTATCTACAAGAATTAGTATCGTTTTTAAATGAATTTTGATTATAGAAAATACTGACGTCAGTATTTCTAGGACGGGGTTTCAGGTGTACTGTAGTTATGGAGCCGCTCAAGTGCCTTGTTCTTCCAGGTTAAGTGACTCCACCGCTCAATTGGCTCAGTGTTTAGACAGCGTTAAAGCAGGATTGGATTACCCTCGCTGCTGGTATCGTGGGATCA